TGCACGAGTCTATATTGAAAAAGACTAAAGAATTATTGCCTTTCAACCGATATTTGTACGACGCGCCGCAAACGAAAGCACGAAAGCATCGATGGCAACAAAGCAATTAATCGGCGTAAAAAAATTACAACGAAGCGGAGGTATGACAATGGCAGTGCCGTTATTTGAAACCACTATTTTTCCTGTTTTTTGTTTGCATTTAAATTTTCAACAATTGCAATTCATTCAATTTATTTGCATGTTTGCACGAAGGCCCCGCGAGTGACCATTGGAAGAGGGAGAGAGTACCAGCCAGTCGAGTATTTGTACACAGATACAAGTATATAATACATATGGAAGTTTTTAATAAAATTCTACAATATCCTTCGTTTGAAATTCGCAGCGCCAATTTTCTTGCAACTTTACAACTTATTATACTTGCAACGCAAGCATTTGGTATCAATTTTAGAATTAAATGTTTACAACACGCCCGCTAATGGATCGGTCCGCGTTAAAAAATGTATACAAAGTGAGATAGTGAAAGTATGGAGTCAGAACAAGTGAAAGAAGGAGGTAGCGGAGTGAGAAAGCGAATGTCGATAAAAACAATAAATTTAAACATCCTCGGTATTATTTTGTTCTAAACTAATACTAATATAGAATTACTGTTTGCTAACTTACTGGCTTTTAGCGGGAAGTTACTGAATGCAACCCTGCAACTATCTACTTGAAGCTATTAATCAAGTAGTGTACTTAGAAAAGCTGTACCATTACATAGTCAGTGTTGGACAGCTAATAAAATCGAAAACCTCGTAAAAATTGGTGAACAGTAATGTGACACTTCGAAGCGGATTTTCATGTTTTTGATAACCTCCACTATCAATTTCATCGTAGAAGTGAAAAATTGGGTTACTGTAGTAGAAGCAATGTGAATGAAAGGGACCACTACAGTTTTCAAAAAATTGGCTCCACAAAGCCACAAAATGAAAGTACTGGAAAGATTCGAAGCTGGAAATATATGAAATAAACGGAATTTTCATCGTTGAGTCGCCGCTGAATCGCAGCCAAATCGATGTATTTCAGAAACGGCTGGTAACTGGTGATAAAAAGTGGTTAACTTATGACAACGGCAAGCGAAAGCGATCGTGATCGAATCATGGTGAGTCGGTGTAATCCCAGATTGACAGTCAATAAAGCATTGTTCTGTGTGTGGTGGGATTAACAATGAAATCTATTATGAGCTACTTCCGTATGGCCAAACTCTTCATTTGAACCTATACCGTCAACAATTGGAGCGCCCAGCTTTGTTCATTAGGAGAGGAAATCATCGGTAGTGACTCGCCAAAAGCTCTGAAAGCTACTTTTCTACTATTCTCTTCCGGACCTGGCACCAAGTTTTCAACTGCTCCTGGTTTTTACGCATGATTTTGTTGTTGAAAAATACGCCTTAAGAGGAGCTTGTGAAAAAAGACTGTTCCAGTTGTAGGTATGCCAATACGGACGAGGGTTTCTATTTAAGTAGAATTTTGCAACGACATTCAAAATGGCTACAAGATATTGACTTAAATCGGAAAGATCTAAGTATGTCAAATAAAATCTCCAATTTAATACAAAAATAATTGATTTCTTTTTAAAAGACCTTTTATGATAAAAAATAAATTAGATATTGTCTCTAAAATGAGCTTTGATTTTGAATGTAAGCTAAGGAATAACTGCCTCTGACACAATTTTCCAAATTCTAAGGAAAAATGCTAAATAGAGCATCACGGAACAACTAAGAGAACATCATAACTCTCTTGGTCTCAGCTAGGTTCTTACAAATCCAAAACTAGATAACTTTGACTTTAAGAATAAAAAATAAGATCTAGCAAGTCTTATAAACGATGATTAGTTCCTGGAATAATATTATTTATCTTTCCTAAGTAGTCATCAGAAACAAAATCTAGAAATATTATTCCACGTTCAGAGAATTTTTCAGACAAATATTTTCTAAAAGATTTCAAACGAAACAGTGCTTAGCCGGATGAAATTCCTACTTGCACCCGGAACAATTCACATATCTCTTGTGAAAGGGGTGCTCACTGATCCCTATTGCCGAAGATTTTTGCAAGATGGTGAGTTGGAACCATCTTGATGCTACTTCATCAACATTTCTTTCATCCTTTCTAATTGATTCTGTGGATACAACTTCTTAAGGCATTCATGAAAAATATCTGGTATCTGATATTAGTTCTGCTATAGAAATTGTGATGTACTTCAGGTTGTTTCGTCTATATATAGTGGTTTCTTGCGTCTTCAGAAATTAAGGATCGTATGATTGGAGATCAGCTGCGATGACCTTAGTGAAATAGCATCAAATCAATATTCCATGGGGGTTTTTCAATGGATTTGCTTTCAATTTAATTTAAGATTTCTGTAAGACATTATGGTTTTAACATAACGATGCATACAAATGTATATTTTCGAAATTCGAATTGATTTTAATGCGCGTTTGAATAAGTGTTTCACTCCATTTTCCTCTACTCCGCAGCATTTCAAGTCAGCGGTCACTTTATGCGTCGCTCATGCATGGACCGCGCCGGATATACGAAATCAACGCATCCTAAAGCTTATAGCCACGCAGCAGATTTGTATGTGTATCTGCAGTGTAGAGCCATCTGACGCGTCCGAGTAGCAATTGGAAATGTACTTCCGTTGCCGATAATGACATGGCCAATTGGCGTCTGAATTTTAACAAGCCAATTGCCAGCTGGCTGTTTGTGACTTGCAGCCACAGCCTGCCTGTCCGGATGCGCCTCATCGATGCGGCATCTTCTCTTAGCTGCCTTGGCGTCTCGCATTACGCTGTTGCAGCAATTTTACGTTCGCACTTAGCGACTTTACTATTTAAAATGTTTTTCGATAAATATTAATGCGCTCTTCAAATGCAATCCTGCTGATGCTGCAGCGCTGTGAAAGGGCTTATAAATTTACTGGTATTGCTGTGGAGCGGAGTTAGTGCATACAACTTGGACACGCACGCGCCAACGAGTCATGAGATTGCTTTGGATTGCTTTCTGCGGCTGAAGTTGGCAAAAATATTTCGCTTTTCTTTTAATGGAATTACCGAAAAGTTGCTTTTAAATATTTATGATGTCGTTTTTTTCTTCAAGTGAACCTAGTGGAGTCAGTTTTTAAATATGATTATCTTCAAACATTTCAAATCAGCTCTAATTTGAAATTTATTAAAGTTCGCGCACTTCACCTCTTCATTTTTGAAAATAACTGTTTCACATGGAATGGAAAAAATCAAGGATATTTTCTTTCATTTATGTCTATTTCGATTGCCACGGATCCTCGAAACAGACTTTCTTGTTTTATTGTTATTGTATGTTCTACACTCAACTGAGAACCAACGACACTTAACTAGCGCTCTATCGCTCGCTAATATCTATTCCCGGATATCCATTCCACTATTTTCCGTCGCGATGTGTACCAACTTACTTAACTACCAACTCGGTTCCATTCATCTCGTCGTCACCTGGTCCCTAATCGATTTCATGAAACCTAGAAACTCAACTGTGTTAAGAAGCGCCGCAATAGCCGACAACTGTCTAAAAGATCGCTCGAAAGCATTTGTCGAAATGGATTCTGCCGAATGTACAAGAACTTGGACCGAAGATATCAGAAATTAATACATCTTCAGAACAAAGCAAAGATAATGGTAATATACAGATGTGATATGTGTCCAAGACTTTTCTGTGAAAAATAATTCTTTTCGAAGATCGAAATTTGAGGTTATTAAGTCAGTGTACAGTAACTTTTTCGATGAGGCACTTTAACAAGTTCAAACCATATATATTCCACCAAAGAGAAGGTGTATAGCAGATCTATAATGTCTAAGCAGATTTTCTTAGAGCTTTATCAAATGTGAATTAAAGTTTTATCACATATCATTGGGAATATATAGACGTTTGTATATATTTGTGGGCTATCAAACTCTAATGAATTTGAATGTCGAAAACATGGTCCTTAATTTCACTGATTCACACGCTTACGAGCAGATTAATTAAAACTAATTAAATAGTTCATTGAAAGATATGATTTCTAGCCCCTTATCTAAGGCTTATCGATGGCATTTTGAAGGTTTATGGCATCCTCTGTGGTCATAAATACAAACACTAATTAATCCAGATAAGATCATAAAAAGCTGTTAGAAATTCTACACAAATATAGCAGTTATCGAATGTTGTTTAACATTCTCTTTTAAAATATCGAAATCCCATCAGCCAATCATATTGAAAACTTAAGAAGTACGATAATCCAAAAGAGACCTCAAGAACTTATCAATTAGGGTTGACTCTCTTGAGGTTTTAAGGTTCATTTTTTATTATGTGAAGAAGATTTTTTGAGACGGCAATAATTTTTCATGAGTTTTCTTTATAATTGTTTGAGCTTTTTCTTTTTCAGAAGGAAAAGTGTATATTTTTTCTGGTTATAGTCAAATGTTATCACATATTCCAAAGCAACCAGTTGTAAAAGCAAACTTTCTTGGATCTACAGGTATACGTTGCGAGAGCTTCGATATATTATCGCAATTCTTGGTTATCACTTGCCACCTTTATTCCCGTCATAAGTATAGAGAAATGTATTCGAAGTCAATGCTAGAAAAAATCGGTTTTTTTTTGTAAATTTTAAGTTTCAACTTGTTATTATTAATATAATCTCTGAATAAGATTTAAAAAAGTTGCATGTGAATATATTTCATAATGGATGAGAGTAAAAACAAGAGAAATAAACATTTGTATATAGTTCCATCTTCCCTTATACAGTTATATGTACTTACTCTCCATCACACTCTTTTTCAGATTTCTAGCACTTTCCTATAATAAGTACTCGCTTAGTGCCATTACCTTAATCATTATCTCACCAACACATACACGCCGAAACCCGTTACTAGCAACACCGACAACAAAAACAATACGAGTCAATTGCGTGCTCTCTTCAAGTATTTCGTTTACAGACATTTACATTTTCAAGTTAAGTTTCGCCATTTCGCGGTCGTTAGTCGGTCTAGCCGGGTGTTAGCTGCCACTAAAGTGTATATAGCTACTGCCAACCGCACGTACGTTTGCAGCTGCCGAGTTGATTTATAACGAATATATTATATAAATTTTAATCGATAAGCAGAGAAGTGGATAAAAGGCTGTGGTACTTAAGTGATTACTTGAAAGAATAAAAATAAAAATAAATAAATAAAGTGAACATCAAAGAGCAGACGGATTTTATTGGAAAAACACCGCACAAGCATACAAAGCATAATGACAGAGCCAGCGCCACGTGAGGTGAGTCAGCGAGTATGCTCTCGCTCTCGTAAATCTGCTCATTTCAATGACGTTTGTGCTCGTGTTAGCAGCTGAGCAAGTGAAAGTGTGTATATGCATATATGTAGATTGTGTTTTTGTTATCAGCTGTGCATGGCAGAAGTGTGAGAGCAATCTCATCAGCTGGCTTTTAAGATATACGCATGTATGTATGTATGTTCGTTAGACCAGTGAACTGATAAGACTGCTTAGCCGCATATTAATGATATTATGAGAGCTACAATTATACGTGTGGGCAAAGTTCAAGTATTGTAAATGTATTTTGATCTATTTTTTGTTATTGCTCTCGGTTAAGTGAGTATTCTAGTCTAGAGACATTTAAAGTGTCGTAAAAAAAGCAATCAATATTTTAACTATCGATTTTTTTTATCAGTTATTTAGTAATGTTACAAGAGTACCGAAAGAAATTTAAAAAAAAGTTAAAAAATTTAAAAAACTGGCAGTTGATAAAGTGGGGTGTCTCAAAAAATTGGCACATGAACCTACCCATGATTTCAACCCTCCTAGTTATCTGAAAACAATATTATCAATCTGCAATGATGTCACAATTTTTTGAACCAGCGATTAGTGAAAAAAATTTTTTTTTACAAAATTTCGACTCTTTTCAAAAACAAGAAAAAAAAATTGTTTAACAAACAAAGCTCGTAAAGAAAACTGTTATAAACAACACATAAACAAAAGTTATTGCTCAAAATCCTTCCAGGCTTTCCGTAATTTTCCCTATTTTTGAGACTGAATTATCCGCTTAGAGAAATATGCCATAACTATATCGAAACCACTAAGGAAATTATCTGAAACATTCAAAGACCATCTTGGCCTATTGGAATATTTAGAATCGTATTACAAAAGCTTATACCATAAGTATGGCGTATTACACGTTCAAAACTTTAGAAGAATACTACCTCAATCTATACCGACGGGACCCAAATGAGCTGCGGTGTTGGTACGGGGGTATACTCCGAGGAACTTAATATCTCTCCATCTTTCCGTCTACCAAACTCAGCTGGCATCTACCAAGCTGGTGTACTAGGCACAGAGAAGGCCTGTGGAGTTCAACTGAAAAACTACGGGAGGATACAAAAAGCGACGATTTACACAGACAGCCGGGCGGCATTACTAGCCTTGTCATAGCCAAAGATCAATTATAGTTTAGTTAACAAATGCACGAAGGCTTTAAGCTCACTGATATGTCGACACCACTTGTCCGAGTTGGCTAAGTCAGGCGTCTCTCTAGACGAATTCGAGACAGAGATAATACCGTGTTCATTAGGAACGATAAAGAGGAAGCTCAATACACAATTTGAACAAATAGCTCAAAATACTTGTATATGGAAATCTACAACAAAATGCAGGATAGCGAAATATATATGGCCAAAATATGACAAGACAAAAACTAAGGACTTAATACATAGGTCCAGGAAAAGTATATACAGACTTACAGCAATCATAACGGGGCATGCAGAAATATAATTTATACTGATTTCATTAAAATTTTCGAAAAACAAATTTTTTGAAGGAACTTTCTTGCCACATTTAGGCTGTGTTTTTATTCCTAGGAGGAAGGTATTACTTCAGGATGACTACATTGCTTATTAAATCAACTGAATGTAGTAATTAAATTTATGTTTATTTTTTAACTATTTGTAGTACGAGGACATACGCATTGCCGTACCGTGGGGTCATCTAGCGGGACGTTGGTATGGCGATCGTAATACTCGGCCGATACTCGCCTTACATGGTTGGCTCGATAATCTTGGTACGTGGGATACACTGCTACCGCTGCTGCCACAACACATTGGCATATTATGTATTGATCTCACCGGACACGGTTACTCTTCGAAATTTCCCAAAGGCTTGCCCTATCACGCGCTTGACTATGTGAATTTGATCATACGCGTCATGAAAGAGTATAAATGGCAAAAGGTCTCCTTACTAACGCATTCCCTTAGCTCACTCGTCGCCTTCACATACACCTCATTGTACCCCTGGACGGTGGACATCTTAATCGCTATCGATATCTTAATACCAGAAAAAATTACACCAGCTTCGGTAATCAAAGCATTACGTACGAATAGCGAGCGACTGCTCGTAGAAGTCGAACGCGCCGAAAAGATGGCGATGCATGAACCACCGACATATTCGTTTGAGCAATTAAAGCAAGTGCTATATGAAGGTTCACAGGGATCAGTTGAATTAGATAATTCTGAACATTTGCTAACGCGTAACATACAGAAATCCCCAAAATATCCAGATAAATATTACTTCGCGCGTGATGCTCGTCTGAAATATTACGAACGCTTTATCTCTTGGGCGCCATTACATTTGGAAATGGCTAAGCGTATCAAGAACGTGCCCTATCTGTTAATTAAGGGCAGTTTGTCGAATATGATAAAAGAGGACTCCGATATTATAATTGATTTGCTACGTCAGAATAATCCACATTTTGAATATTACGAAATCGAAGGTACACACCATGTACACTTGAATAATCCCGAGGCGTGCGCCGCTGTCATAAATCCTTTTATAAATATGCATAGACCGGCGATGCCCAACACTTGGTGCGTCGACGACGATGATGAGACGCCAATGAAGAGTACTGAAAGTGTTGGTGAAGAAAGAAAGAAAGTCAAAGGACGTTTGTGTCGCCTTAGAAGTAAACTGTAATGGACCAGAATGGTCTGAGTAGGCAGATTAAGTATTAAGGTAAATAAAAAGGTATTGTGTTCAAAGTTTTCAGTGATCCATTTATAAATGCCTAATTTATTTTTAATAAAAAAAGTTTATAGTTTATTTTTTAATAAAATAAGTTATAAAAAATATTTTAAAAATGTATTTACATTTCTCATAAGTATAGTACAATAAATCTCTTGCATATTTTTTTAAAAATTGTGGCAAAAAAATGTAATAAGATTCGTAACAAAAGCCGAGATGGTATAGTAAAAGTAATATTTGCGCAAATAAAGTACGACTGGAGTAGATCGTACTGCCCTGTTATGGTCTTTGATGCTAAGTTTCTACTCTTGCCTGCTTGCTTTATACATCAGCGCCTAAATGTAGGCAACATTTTTTTATCACTCTATTACCGCAAGAGCTCCAGACTTTAAAGAAAGCCCTACCAAAAAATTTAATCTACTAGAGTTCTATCTACGAGAATCCAAGTGAAATCCGATGTAAGATTGCTGATATTTCTCTCCCTATTCCTCTCAGGATCTGTAAAAATAGTGGGCTTAAAGAAAAATATTTTTTTTTTAACATATTTGGTTCTTCAAACATGTCCAACAAGACAAATAGAGATGTCAAACATATGTCATTCTTAAGTACGTCTTTTGGATGATAAATTTCTAAAAACGTTAGGTTAGGTTATAATGTCTGGCTGTCAGCCATACACAGAACTACAAGTCCTTTATTATGCCAGATGGAGGTTCAGTTTAGTATGAGCTGAAGTTTGCAATGTAGAGAGCGTCAACGCTTTGTGAGAAGTTTCATAAAGAATTGACAACTTAGACGAACTGTTGCTACGTCTCTCTCATGTATGCTTTCCTGAACTTTCCTTGATGCGTCTGTCAGCCCTTTCGGAAATCTCATTGTGTATCGTTTTTAATGATTTGCGTATTTCCTGTAGCGGGTCGGTAGCTTAGCGGATAGCACTTCATCAACAATGTTTTATCCGTCCGTGTTGATGTTGACGGTTAAGTTACGTTAGATAATGAGGACTAGTTGTCGAGCTGGATCTTCTTCGGTTAAAATCAGAGCGAAAACAGCAAACTGCTAAATAATATTCCTACCAGGTTCAGCAAAGGAGGCTTTAGTTCACTACGACAGAATAATTGACCGCACATAAATCTGTGTCCTTTATTCTTAGAGTCCAATGTTCTTAATGGGTTTTCAAAACGACCTATAAAAGAGAACCTCTGCTAAAGTGGTTCGATGAGAAAAGATTTGAAAATTTGTAAGAAATATGGAAAAATTGTGTTAAATTCTTATTGTACGCTCACATATAATCATGCTCTGATTCTCTACCAACTGCAACGTCTATCTGCTCATAATCTCACTTAGCGCAGAAGGCAGGGAATTTACCAAACTTTCTCAAATAAATGTAAATCTTTTGTAATTTTATCCCAACGTATTTACATGTCGTCGAATATTTGACTTATTCATGGCTGTGGTTTTATCTGTCCGCAAGGTAGACTTAAAAGTGTATGCGGATTAGTGCGGAGAGCGATGACTTTAGCACCAAATTACATTGGTGCTCGAAAAGTTCCTATCGCTCGGCAGCATTATCGGGAAATTTATTACTTTGTGTACAGAATATGCACCGAGAGCGTGTAAAAAATGAATGTGCTTGCCAAAAATCGTGTATTTATTTAAAGCCACCGAGACAAAGACAACAAAAAACAATTTACTAGCAGCAGCAGCGTCGTGCACACGCTTTCCCGAGTAACTTGTCGTTCAAATGATTTCGTAGATTCATCATCGGCTTGTAAAGTGGGCGGTTGTTTGTTTCAGCGCGGCTGGTAGAAGGTTGGGCGGGAGCTCTGTGTGCTGCTTGAAACAATAAAGAATCTTCGAGGAAAATTGGCGACGATGAAATTCAAATTGCAACAACTACAAAAACACAAAGCACTAGTTGGTTTATATAGTTACAGCATTACGAGGGAGGTCCATAAAGTTGTTAGTCTTACAGCTCGACAGAGACATTTTTCTTATAGACGATTTCTGTCGGAATTTCCGATTCAGATAAATAGTATTGTTCTGATCGCGTGTGAAAACGGATCCGCGGTTCTTAGAAAAATGGAAAAAAATATCGGTCGGTACTGTCTTATTTTTAATTCTTGTTTTAAGAAGAGATCGCGCTTGGATGCTGTGTAGGGTCACTCTTCTCATTCGGTGGTTCTTTTGTCGTTGCTTTACAGAGTCTCAACGAAGTCGTTTGTCGGTTTTGATGAGTCGCGCCGTGCCCTGGTTTCCGGAGAATAACGTGACAGACCACTGCTTGAAGGTGCGCATGATAGCTAAATCAATAGATATTTTAAAAAACCATGAGGGTCATAACCTGTATGAAATTTTTATCTTCTGGGAAAGATTTCGGCTGTCGATGTATGCCGCGTATGCTCACTGAAACACACTAGAAATCAAGGAACAGTCGAAAGATAGTACTCCATCGCGAACCTGTTCATGTAAAGGCAAATTTTATCCTAACGGCCGGAAAGGTAATGGTCACCGTTTCTTGGCTTTCACGACGTGTGTTCTACATAGTAAAAATGATCACAAGGCGCAACTCGAATTATTGGGCTGATTCGATGCACAGTTGCAGACAAAACAGCCAAGTCGTCGATACTTTTTCGACTAATTAGCCTATAAACTCGTACCCTATCCACCGTTTTCTCTTGATTTGGCTCCGAGCGACATCTTTTTGATTTCAAAGTAAAAAATATAACTTCTCGGATGGAGCTTTGGGTGGAAAAAAGAGGTTATTGTCCTTTTTAAGACCGTCATTTGTTTTTTAATTTCAAATTTTTTGTGGGAAGCTATCGGATCACCCTCGTGTGCTTCATAGATATATCAGTGTTTGTTGTGCTTTTTGCCTTTACACTTGTCTCAGCATGTGAATGCAAATCCGTTGAGAAATCGGCTCTTGTTGTTATATATAGTATAGTGGTTGTTGCTGCTGTTGCTGTTATTGTGCCGAAATACTGTAGAGAACGACAACAATGTGTTAAATTTAAGACGCTATTATAAATGACTATTTTAAGCTAAATAAATTGTACGGTATTTACTGTTATGCTGCTAACTGGCTGTTATTGCTGTTATTGCTATTATTGTTGTTATCTTTGGTGTTGTTATTATTTTTTTTCACATGCACACTGCATACTAGTATATCAATGGTCGTCGGTCGTCGGTTTGGCAGTTCATGTTTCACTCTTTTGTTCGTTTTGTGCAATTTTTTTCATCGCTACTTTCAAGTCTCCACTTCTTCTCGAGCTTCCGATTTTATATTGGCGCTCTTGCTTTGCTCCACATTCCCACGAAGAAGTGCAGTTGAGTAATGCATGTGTCTTTGATTGGCAAATATTTTGCTTTGTTTCGAGTTGCTGTTGCATGAAATGAATGTGTCAGCGCTGACATTAGCACCAGCCGTTTCTGTTTGACTTCACAATTCCGATAGTAAATGATTTTCGAGTAATTGAGTGCAACGGTATTTGCCAAACGAGCAAATCTATAGTGGTGGAGGGTGTGCGTGGAAGAGAGAGATGGAATGAAAAATATGTGTGCGCTCGCTGCTTAACGGTAAAAGTAACGTTTCGATAATTTATGATTTCTTTAAGAAGTTTGCTGTGAAAACTTTGCTTTTATTTCCGGGTGTTGGCTTTCGAACTGTGTGGGAGTTAAAACTTGGAGTTCTCAGATGCGAGTGTTATGGAGAAATTTTAAAAAAATAAATTATGGAATGAACATTTATCTTGAAATACCTTCAAATTTTTACATGAGAGTTCGGAGAAATCAAATTATAAGATTCTGAAGACAGAGAGGTTATTCGAACAAAAAACTAGTATAAATAAAGTAGATTGGCATAAATACAAAAATTGGCATAATTAAGCAGAATTTTATTAAATGTCTACCTACCTCTTTTTTTAATGAGATGTGAATCGAACAAAAAACTAGTATAAATAAAATAGACTGGCATAATTGCAAAAATTGGCACAATTAAGCAGAATTATATTAAATTTCGACCTATCTATTTTTCAATCAATTAGAAAACTCTTTTGTATGTCGGACATCTAAATTGGAGAAGACAAATGAAAAATCAACTGGTATAAACTAGAAAAATGGTGTAATTTTGTAAAAATACAATAACAAGTGGTTATACCAAATGAATTGGGATTCCACCAATTTCTCTCTATATTTTATTTAAAATGAATAACTATTGTTGTTGCTTTCACTATAAAGTTACTATCTTTCCGTCTTTATAACTTGGATGCCTTTTAAGCATTAGTTCTACAGCATAACCTTTTCAACTTTATGTTTCAGATATCATAGCAATCATGTACCTTTATCAAAAGACATCCAATCGATATTTGTCGAAGAATTAAAAGAGACAACGTCAAAATTTACTGACGTTGTTGGCTGCAAGACTAAGGTCTGGTACGTATAAGCTAATAGAAAAAAGAACAAATTTAGAATGAAAAGTAGTTAGGTAAACTGCAAGCCCCGTTAACAAAATTAAGAAACCGTACCTCTCTAAAGTGCCAAGAAAATGGATTTCTCATAACCTTTTACGTCTCTCTGCTTATTAGGCTTATTGATTATTTCTTATTCAAGAACTAGCTGATTTAATCATGCCAAAATCAACGGCTAGAACATGTTCAAAGACTTAAGGTATTCCCTGTACCGTAAGGCCCATTGCCCGATATTGAATTGGTCGAATAAAAAGTGGCTTTTTAGTGTCTATGCATTATTTTGTAGAACTAATTTGTTCTAAAAAGCTTTTATAACACATATTTTGAGATTGAGTTGCCACCTGTCTGAAACAATAAATTTTAAACATCTTAAATTACAAACATGAGACGTCTAACAAAGCATTCCGGAAAATATTAGTACAATCTGTTTTTTAGAACTATTTTTCAATAGAGTTGCCACCTAAAAATAAAAAATCGAACTCGGCATAATTTTACAAAGTGCTTGTAGAAAGTGAACTTTTGAAAAAGCAGTCAGAAGTGGTTATTGACTTTTCTGGAATAGAGTTGCCACATATCCAAAAAAAAAAAGATTAAGAAATATGTGGGCAGAGTAAGTCGTTTGAGGAAACCTTATTCGGTGGTTTTTCTGCAAAAAACTTTATTTCGGCACAACACGGCAACGAAATTTTACTGAAAACTTGTACATATTTATGTGTATGTGAATGGTGTTGCCACATATCAACAAATTAAAATATGCAAAAATTATTTCTTAATAGAGTTATATATGTTAAATTTTAGGTAAAATATTCAGAGCCGCTGTCTTTGAATATATGCCGGAACAGAGTTGCCACCTAACAAAAAATTAAAACGTTTTAAAATAATCTCTTATTAGAGTTAGATGTACAATATTAGCTTTTGAAAAATATTTTGGAGTTGCTGTACTTGCTGTACTTATATGTTGGAATGGAGTTGCCACCTAGAGAAGAATTAAAACATAAAAGAGTTACGTGATATTGCTAGCTTTCGAAAAAATATTTGCAGCTGTTGTATTTGAACAAATGTCAAAATGGAGTTGCCACCTTGTGAAAATAGTAAAATTGTGTAAGCTAGTATTACAAAATGTTAATGACTTGGTAGTTATACATATGTATATGTATTTGTTAGCACAAGTAGTAAATTGTGAAGTAATCAGTTGGCGCATTCATTACCGCATA